TTTCTCTCTCTCCCTCTCTCTCCCCTCTCCTCTTTCTCTCTCTTTCCTCTCTCTCTCTCTCTCCCACAAAACACACACCAAACACACACACACCCCCACACACACACCACACACACACACACAAAACACACACAAAACACACAACACAGCTCATTAAGAGAAGCTGACCAGGGGCAGTTAACCCACATCAGTTTATGTATTATCACTCTATGACAAGAGGTGAAGAGTAGATAACAAACTTGTGAGGATTTAAAAAACGAGAAAACAAAGAATTAGATGTCTAAAATCTACTGTCTTCCAGATAGCTCTTAGATCTCTTATTCTTTCACCGCCCATGGAGAACCTCAACTCCTCCAACTCCTCTAGCTTGGACCTCCACCTCCCCGGATTCGGGCTGCTGATTTCGAGCATCGTCCTGGGCTATGCTGTGCGCTGGGCCTCCCTGGTAACATACAGTGGGGAGAACAAGTATTTGATACACTGCCAATTTTGCAGGTTTTCCTACTTACAAAGCATGTAGAGGTCTGTAATTTTTATCATAGGTACACTTCAACTGTGAGAGACGGAATCTAAAAGAAAAATCCAGAAAATCACATTGTTGATTTTTAAGTAATTAATTTGCATTTTATTGCATGACATAAGTATTTGATCATCAGAAAAGCAGAACTTAATATTTGGTACAGAAACCTTTGTTTGCAATTACAGAGATCATACGTTTCCTGTAGGTCTTGACCAGGTTTTGCACACACTGCAGCAGGGATTTTGGCCTACTCCTCCATACAGACCTTCCCAGATCCTTCAGGTTTCGGGCTGTCGCTGGGCAATACGGACTTTCAGCTCCCTCCAAAGATTTTCTATTGGGTTCAGGTCTGGAGACTGGCTAGGCCACTCCAGGACCTTGAGATGCTTCTTACGGAGCCACTCCTTAGTTGCCCTGGCTGTGTGTTTTCGGGTCGTTTTTCATGCTGGAAGACCCAGCCACGACCCATCTTTAATGCTCTTACTGAGGGAAGGAGGTTGTTGGCCAAGATCTTGCGATACATGGCCCCATCCATCCTCCCCTCATACGGTGCAGTCGTCCTGTCAACTTTGCAGAAAAGCATCCCCAAGGACTGATGTTTCCACCTCCATGCTTCACGGTTGGGATGGTGTTCTTGGGGTTGTACTCATCCTTCTTCTTCCTCCAAACACGGCGAGTGGAGTTTAGACCAAAAAGCTATATTTTTGTCTCATCAGACCACATGACCTTCTCCCATTCATCCTCTGGATCATCCAGATGGTCATTGGCAAACTTCAGACGGGCCTGGACATGCGCTGGCTTGAGCAGGGGGACCTTGCGTGCGCTGCAGGATTTTTATCCATGACGGCGTAGTGTGGCTACTAATGGTTTTCTTTGAGACTGTGGTCCCAGCTCTCTTCAGGTCATTGACCAGGTCCTGCCGAATAGTTCTGGGCTGATCCCTCACCTTCCTCATGATCATTGATGCCCCAAGAGGTGAGATCTTGCATGGAGCCCCAGACCGAGGGTGATTGTCCGTCATCTTGAATTTCTTCCATTTTCTAATAATTGCGCCAACAGTTGTTGCCTTCTCACCAAGCTGCTTGCCTATTGTCCTGTAGCCTATCCCAGCCTTGTGCAGGTCTACAATTGTATCCCTGATGTCCTTACACAGCTCTCTGGTCTTGGCCATTGTGGAGAGGTTGGAGTCTGTTTGACTGAGTGTGTGGACAGGTGTCTTTTATACAGGTAACGAGTTCAAACAGGTGCAGTTAATACAGGTAATGAGTGGAGAACAGGAGGGCTTCTTAAAGAAAAACTAACAGGTGTGTGAGAGCCGGAATTCTTACTGGTTGGTAGGTGATCAAATACTTATGTGATGCAATAAAATGCAAATTAATTACTTAAAAATCATACAATGTGATTTTCTGGATTTTTGTTTTAGATTCTGTCTCTCACAGTTGAAGTGTACCTATGATAAAAATTACAGACCTCTACATGCTTTGTAAGTAGGAAAACCTGCAAAATCGGCAGTGTATCAAATACTTGTTCCCCACTGTAGCTGTCCTGGTGGTCATCCTGCGCCGCTCGTCCGGACGCCCCAACTTCACCCTGTGCCTCATGCTGAACTTGGCATCCTCCGACATCCTGTGCCTGGCCACGGTGCCCATGTGGATCTATACTCTCCTGCACAGATGGACTCTGGACCGTGCCGCCTGCAAGCTAGCCACCTTCCTGCTCTACCTCAGCCTGTATGCTAACGTGCTAACGGTCACTCTACTCGGGGTCCAGCGCTACCTCCAGGTGCTCTACCCGCAGATGTGGATCAGGCTGGGGCGCAAGGGGGAGGCGGCGCTGCTCCTGGCCCTGTGGGGGCTCGCCTGTGCCCTGACTGCCCCCGCCGTTGCCACTCACAATATGGGCGATGGCGAGCCACACACAGGCTCCGAGGCTGAAAGAGTTGCTGTCCTCGTCTTGGAGACCCTTTTAGGGTTCGTTGTCCCGTTCTCTGTGCTGGTCACGTCCTACTGCTGCCTCCACCGGCGGGTCACCAGTGTGGTGGTCGCCTTCTTCATCCTCTGGATCCCTGTGCACATTGTCAACGTGGTGGACATCGCCGGCATGGTGCTGCGGGCTTCCCGGCCAGAGGCGTTGGCAGTGCTGCTGCGCCACAGAAGTGTGGCAGTGCGTGTCGTCCGGAGCTTCACGTTTGTGAACAGCTGCCTGGACCCCTTCCCCTTCCTGTGCTCAGAGTTGTGAAGATGTACCAAATACTTGATTGAAAAACACTGTAAAGAAAAACACCCACTTTATCACCGAAACTGCCATTACACACCGTGGTCAGAGGAGAGTGACAGAGCTCCACTACTGTCCACCATGAGAAGATTTGAAGGATATAGAAGCAGCAATTCTACTCGAGTTGAATTTACCTTCTCATGGGACTGAAAACCACTGTTGAGAGACATCAACTGGTGTGTGGGCGAGTCAAACTAGGCCCCATTTAAGATATAGTTGTTACAATGTGTGGTTTGTCTATGATTTTACCTTTGGAAACTGCTAACTTTCTATTATCTCCTTGTTAGCATGTGTGTGTGTGTGTGTGTGTGCGTGCGCGTATTTGCGTAAAAGATGGGACATTTGCATAGCTGTCCTGCCTCATTACTCCACATACTTTTAAAACCCCAGTGTTGATCAGTGACTGTTCAAACCCTTTCAGAGCCACTGACACGCTGCACAATGATGATGTCACTGATTCTACTGCTGGGGACACTTGGGCTCCTTGTTCAGGGTGAGAGACACTTTGACCAACTTTGATTCACTATGGGTTTGGCTTCAGAGTTACACTTCATTCGTTAGTTTAGCATGAAAGAGAATAAAATATAATGTAAAAAAATTATTTTACTGGGTAGGCTATGCTTTACAATATGTTTGTTGTGATAACCTTCCTAATCAGCCTTTCTTCACTTTTGTTTATCTTTCAGAATCATCAGCGGGCATAATTCTGACCCATTCTGCTAAATCTCAGTCTGTTCGCCAAGGAGAGACTGTCTCCATCAGCTGTACAGTCAGTTCAGACATTAGTAATTATCTCCACTGGTACCTGCAGAAATCTGGAGAGGCGCCTAAACTCCTGGTTTTTCTGCTTCAACTCGTCAGACTGGGATTCCAGGTCGTTTCAGTGGGAGTGGATATGGTTCTCATTACACTCTGACCATCAGTGGAGTCCAGGCTGAAGATGCTGGATATTACTACTGCCAGCAGAGTTACAGCGGGTTTCACAGTGTTAAAGAGCGTCGTACAAAAACCTCCCTCAGCTAAAGAGGAACTGCCCTGACTCAACAGCTGCAGAGCTACAGAGTCTCCTGTATTCTAAAGTATTCTAAACACCATTTCATCAAAATATGACACTACAATACAATAATGGAATTGGTTAGACTTTTCCAAGGACTAAGATACTGTACGTAACTCTTAATGTATTCTGCAAAAATAGAAATATTTGTAAACACACTGGGACCACTAAGGGTACAGAGCTGTAGAAAATGCTTTATTTTGAAGGATTTGTTGAACAAAATTCAGAATAGGTTTCGAATTTTTTCAACGTTTTGATTTATCTTCATATTGTAAGAAGCACCCATTTCAGTACACAATAGCATGAATGTTGACCCTGTCCAAACCCAACTTCCCAACTATTCATCACCTACTCAACTTCTATACCCCTCCAACCCCGAAAGAGTGAATACAGTCATATTGATTCCATTCAAGAAATACTACTTTGATATCATCAGTGCCTTGCAAAAGTAATCACCCCCCTTGGTGTTTTACCTATTTTGTTGCATTACAACCTGTAATTTTAAATGGATTTTTATTTGGATTTCATGTAATGGACATACACAAAATAGTCCAAATTGGTGAAGTGAAATTGAAATAATAACTTGTTTCAAAAAATTCTAGAAAATGTATAATGGAAAAGTGGTGCGTGCATATTTATTCACCCCCTTTGGTATGAAGCCCCTAAATAAGATCTGGTGCAACCAATTACCTTCAGATGTCTCATAATTAGTTAAATAGAGTCCCACTGTGTGCAATCTAAGTGTCACATGATCTGTCACATGATCTCAGTATATATACACCTGTTCTGAAAGGCCACAGAGTCTGCAACACCACTAAGCAAGGGGCAACACCAAGCAAGTGGCACCATGAAGACCAAGGACCTCTCCAAACAGGTCAGGGACAAAGTTGTTGAGAAGTACAGATCAGGGTTGGGCTATAAAGAAATATCCAAAACTTTGAACATCCCACAGAGCACCATTAAATCCATTATGAAAAAATGGAAATAAAATGGCACCACAACAAACCTGCTAAGAAAGGACCGCCCACCAAAACTCACGGGCCAGGCAAGGAGGGCATTAATCTGAGAGGCAACATTAATCTGAAGGCGCTGCAAAGCTCCACAGTTAAGATTGGAGTATCCGTCCATTGGACCACTTTAAGCCTTACACTCCACAGAGCTGGGTTTTACAGCAGAGTGGCCAGAAAAAAGCCATTGCTTAAAGAAGAAAATAAGCTAACACGTTTGGTGTTCGCCAAAAGGCATGTGGGAGACTCCCCAAACATATGGAAGAAGGTACTCTGGTCAGATGAGACTAAAATTGAGCTTTTTGGCCATCAAGGAAAACGCTATGTCTGGTGCAAACCCAACACCTCTCATACCCGAGAACACCATCCCCACAGTGAATCATTGTGGTGGCAGCATCATGCTGTGGGGATGTTTTTCATTGGCAGGGACTGGGAAACTGGTCAGAACTGAAGGAATGATGGATGGCGCTAAATACAGGGATATTCTTGAGGGAAACCTGTTTCAGTCTTCCAGAGATTTGAGACTGGGACAGAGGTTCACCTTCCAGCAGGACAATGACCCTAAGCATACTGCTAAAGAAACACTTGAGTGGTTTAAGGGGAAACATTTAAATGTCTTGGAATGGCCTAGTCAAAGCCCAGACCTCAATCCAATTGAAAATCTGTGGTATGACTTAAAGATTGATGTACACCAGCGGAACCCATCCCACATGAAGGACCTGGAGCAGTTTTGCCTTGAAAAATCCCAGTGGCTAGATGTGCCAAGATTATAGAGGCATACCCCAAGAGACTTGCAACTGTAATTGCTGCAAAAGGTGGCTCTACAAAGTATTGACTTTGGGGGGGGGGGGGAATAGTTATGCACGCTCAAGTTATGTTTTTTTTGTCTTATTTCTTGTTTGTTTCACAATAAAAAATATTTTGCATCTTCAAAGTGGTAGGCATGTTGTGTAAATCAAATGATACAAACCCTCCAAAAATCAATTTTAACTCCAGGTTGTAAGGCAACAAAATAGGGAAAATGCCAATGGGGGTGAATACTTTCGCAAGCCACTGTACATATCTGTCACGAATACAATTAGTTTACATGCTGTATACAAGGCCATAAAAATAGAGTGAAGTCCCCCATTTGAACATGATGCAAAGTCCAGTGTAATATCTGCTTCCCCAGCCCATGTTCAGTTCTCTAGTGAAACACACAGCTGCCCCAGTCCCAGAGGATTTGAGGCTGTGAGATTGTAAGCTGTGGTGGGGTTGAAACTCAGATTTGCATGGGCAGGGAACTGCCACGCTCCCAGAATAGAACAGCACCAGGGCCAGATGTTCACCTGTCCCCAGAGAGTTCCAGTGAGTTTATAGCACATGGCTTCAGTATTAGTAACATCATGAAGACCAGTGAGTTTATAGCACATGGCTTCAGTATTAGTATCACTGTAGATCACATGAGGCTGCTGAGGGGAAGACGGCTCATAATAATCGCAAGAATGGAGTGAATGGAATGGTATCAAACACATAGAAACCATGTGTTTGAGTTCAATACCATTCCATTGATTCCGTTCCAGTCATTACTATGAGCCAGTCCTCCCCGATTAAGGTGCCACCAACCTCCTGTGCTGTAGATATCCTTTTGACTGGTACCAAATGTGTCCCAATCAGCCAAGCATTCACTGAGCGAGGTTAATTCACTGAAATGTATTAGAAATCATTTTCCATGCCAGAGCTCTTCATTCCTTATGAAAACTAAACGAATAGTAAAGATCTCAATGTCTAATGGTAAAACTTATTAAATAATGACATCCAGGCAAACAATTTTAAAGATTAAACATCTTTATTATTTCAACATGTCAGAACCAACAGCATTACAGCACTAAAGCACATCACAGGTGATATGAAAGCCAAGAAGATCTATGACATCAGGAATCAGAGAGATATTCTAGAGTAAGGATTCCCACACAGGGTCTAGCCCAGCAAAAGTGTGCTAGTCATAGGAGGCTGCTGAGGGGAAGACGGCTCATAATAATGTCTGGAATGGAGTGAATGGAATGGTATGAAACACATGGAAACCATGTGTTTGAGTTTGATACCATTCAATTTATTGCGTTCCAGCCATAACTATGAGCCGTCCTCCCCAATGAAGGTGCCACCAACCTCCTGTGGTACTAGTAGTGCTGGATCAGTAAGACGAAGAGGCGCTGAGTGCAGAACAGAGTAAAACTGTGGAGTCAGAGAAGGAGCTCATTCGTCAGAACACTGGTCTCTCCTCAGTGTCTCAGAGAGTGGAGACTGGGAGCCCTGGGTGGCCTCACAGGTCACAGAGCCGACCTTCCTCCATTGGTCGACAGGAAGGGTCAGGGTGCTGCTCCAGCTGTAGTGGCCGTCCTTCTCCAGGACCCCAGGGCTCCCGGTCACCTCCCAGGTGCTGCTACTGCTCCTATCCACCTTCCAGCTCAGCTTCAGTCTGAGGGGAAGCCCTTGTTGGCCAGGCACATGAGAGTGGCCTTCCCCTGTCGTAGCTCCACACTGGAGGGGGGCAGGACCGTCAGGGTGGGAGGAACATCACCTAGGAGACAGGTGGGAAATTAGAGAGAGGGGAGCTATCAATCAATCACCAGACTGATGCAACAATAGTGACGCAGCAGTTTTACATCTTAGCTGTAAATTAAGTTGTTTTTTCAGTAGGTTTCTGTCCCTCAAAAACACAGTTTCTCAGTCTTTGTGTCACTATTTCACTTCCCTATGAGTAGCTACTGAAGCATATTATAACTACATGAGATGACTGAAAATACATTCAACTATCTTCAAAAAAAATTCTTTTTAAAATGACAAATATTTCCACATACTTCTCCCTTTTTGTAATGTGATAAAATCCTAGGAATCAAACTGCATTTCATTATTCATTATTATTATTTTAAAGAAAATTCCACAGAATGTATGACCAATTCTTCAATGATCTGTTTAAAATAAGTGCTGAGAAGTAAATTCCAGTTGACTGTAACCATCTAACAATAATATTACATTTAAAGATGCACTATGCAGAAATCACTACGCCATTTACTGGTTGCTAAAATTCTAATAGTTCACCTAACTTCAGTTTATGTGACAAAACAAGAAAGGATAATGTAAGAGTAGGGCTCTCAACCTTGTTCCTGGAGAGCTACTGTCCTGTAGGTTTTCACTCCAACCCTAATCTAGCGCACCTGATTCTGATAATTAGCTGGTTGATAAACTGAATCAGGTTAATTACAACTGGGGTTGGAGTGAAAAACCTACAGGAGGGTAGCTCTCCAGGAACAGGGTTGGTGAGCCCTGGTGTAGTAGAGAATCATTGTACCATCTAAACCGCTGTGAAATATATTTTCCATAACCAAAAATATTGTATTTTTAGCTGTTTGATCTGGTGTGCAAAACCTAAAGTAAAACAAAAAATTAAACTTAAGAATGGGAAGCATAGAAATAGCACACATAGAACAATCTACCGCTTTATAGACTTGCTTTCAATGACAACGAAATATTTGAACTGTATTTCTATGTGAATTTGGTCGGGTCTCAGAATAAGTTACATAGCCTATTGCAGCTTTAATTTAAAAGAAAATGAATAAAGTTATACTGTAATTTACGAGATATTCTATAATAAATTGAAACCAAAAGTGTATTCATATGAACAGCAGGACTTTGTAAGATAGCAACACTTAGCAAAATATAGCAAATATTTAATAACATTCAAAATAAGAAAGCAATATAGCAAATAGATAGCAAAACTAAGCATAAAAAAAACTTACTTCCAACATCCAGTCTAGTGCCTCCACCAAAAGTGTACCACAGTGATACAAACACATGCAACGGCCATACAAAAACCTTTGAAACTATAGAGATACTGCTCTCGCTGAACTACCAAACCACTCTCAGATTTCATCAATAACCCTATTGTTCGAAATCAATACAAACTGTATAAGCACATTGTTTGATATATTACATCTTGGATAGGCATTTTAATTTAACTCAATTTACTTCTAAGGGAAAATAAATGCAACACAAATTCTCCCCAAAAAATAAACTTTTCTACTTTCTATTTAACGGAGTTGTAATAGTGTTAAGAAAATGAATTGGGATTTTGATAACAGAGGTCAAGATCGAGAATTGAATACTTACTACCAACACTCAGTTTGGTCCCTCCACCAAAAGTCCACCACAGTGATAGAGTCTGATTGACTCGCTGTACAAAAATCTCCATACAGACACAGAGGGTAATGTTAACAGAGACGTGAAACTGATCACTGAATGTTGTTTGGAACTGAGGCCCCCTCCTGGTACACTCTGGAACTCCAGGAGATTGGACATTCACGGTCCCCGTTCCCCATTGAACTTTCAACAGTATGAAAACTGCTGATACAGCAACGAAGGAACGTGTCAGTATAAATACATTTTTTGTAATGAGTTCCAGACAACAGAATTGGATTTCAGAACTTTTCTTAATGACAGTGCAGTGATTTGCCCAGGAGGAACATTTCCATAGAGAGCCACTTTGCATTGGCATCACATGCTTCAGTGCTCTGGGAGTGTTTATAGCCCTGTATGTTGAACACTTCATGTGAGATCTGTATTTCATTTAAACAGAACCCATGGCAACCATGACTTTGATCACCATCTTCATCTGGACTCTGATCTGTTACACACAAGGTGAGAGACATTTTGAACATTTTCAGAATGCAAGCATCATGTTGTAAATGATGAATTAGGGTTATAATCTTCCAAATATTTTACCATCCTATATGTCAAATGTTCCTTATTTTTCTCTGCAGGGTCTTGGGGTCAGTATGTATTGACTCAGTCTGCAGCTCAGTCAGTCCAGCCTGGTCAAACTGTCTCTATTGACTGTAGCGCCAGTAGTAAAGTTACTCAGTACTCTGGCTCACAGTATTTCCTAGCCTGGTACCATCAGAGGTCTGGAGAAGCTCCTAAACTCCTGATCTATGTCACATCAGAAAGGCATACTGGAGTTTCCACCAGGTTCAGTGGCAGTGGGAGAGGAAATGGTGTTGACTTCACTCTGACCATCAGTGGAGTCCAGGCTGAGGATACAGGAGTTTACTACTGTCAGAGTTACCACAGTGGTCCTGTGTTCACACAGTGATTTAGAGCCGCACAAAAACCTCCCTCAGTCAGAGTGCACTGCTGCAGCTGGGACCTACTGCAGGTGCTGAGGGCCAAGACAATGACATGCGTCAGTGAGTACTACTGTACAAACACTCAACCCACTGGGAAAAACTGGTTGAATCAATGTTTCCACGTCATTTAAACCAAACAAATCTATGTGATGAAGTTGAAGCAACTCAACCAAATGTAATTGAAAACTAGACGTTGAACTGATGTCTGTGCCCAGTGGGAACCTACCATTCATTATACACTGTGACCACAGGAGTATTGTATCAAATATTACCCCACTACAGTATGGTACAGCACCACTGTGGTCTCCATCTTGTACAGTAAATATACAGTGAAAAGACTATAGACAGACAGTGCAACCAGTGCTCCCATAATAAACACAAGCCTCCTCACACTCTACATGATATCTATAGATCTGAAGCAAACCTGCAAATAGAACTAACATTTAGCTGCAATATAAATGTTCTCTCTCATTCAAATGATGAACCTGAGACTGTAGAGTCAGAGATTATGTTAAACCGATAGAGAATGACATCATCTCTTGGTGGTGATTGTCATGGAGCCAATAGTGTTCCTCTGTGAAGGAAGGCCTGCTCTGGTGATGCTGGGAAACACTAGCAATAACACGTCAATAACTTGTCTCTCTTCAGTCTGTGCTGCTGCTGCTCTCCTCCAGCTGCTACTGGAACAGTAATATATATATATAATAATATATGCCATTTAGCAGACGCTTCTATGCAAAGCGACTTACAGTCATGTGTGTGTCAAAGGTCCTTTTGGATCTGGGTTGAGCAGGCAGAGTAAGGTAGAGACCAAACACAAACCCTATAGGATGGACCTGCTTGAGGGGAGGAGGGACCCTATAGCGTCTGCCTGAGGGGAGGAGGGACCCTATAGCGTCTGCCTGAGGGGAGGAGGGACCCTATAGCGTCTGCCTGAGGGGAGGAGGGACCCATTAGCGTCTGCCTGAGTTGAGGAGGGACCCTATAGCGTCTGCCTGAGGGGAGGAGGGACCCTATAGCGTCTGCATGAGGGGAGGAGTGACCCTATAGCGTCTGTCTGAGTTGAGGAGGGACCCTATAGCGTCTGCCTGAGGGGAGGAGGGACCCATTAGCGTCTGCCTGAGTTGAGGAGGGACCCTATAGCGTCTGCCTGAGGGGAGGAGGGACCTTATAGCGTCTGCCTGAGGGGAGGAGGGACCCTATAGGGTCTGCCTGAGGTGAGGAGGGACCCTATAGCGTCTGCCTGAGGGGAGGAGGGACCCTATAGCGTCTGCCTGAGGGGAGGAGGGACCCTATAGCGTCTGCCTGAGGGGAGGAGGGACCCTATAGCGTCTGCCTGAGGGGAGGAGGGACCCTATAGCGTCTGCCCTGAGGGGAGGAGGGACCCTATAGCGTCTTCCTGAGGGGAGGAGGGACCCTATAGCGTCTTCCTGAGGGAGGAGGGACCCTATAGCGTCTGCCTGAGGGGGTAGGGGGGAGGGGACCCTATAGCGTCTGCCTGAGGGGAGGAGGGACCCTATAGAGTCTGCCGAGGGAGGAGGGACCCTATAGGTCTCTGAGGGGAGGGGGACCCATAGCATTGCCTAAGAAGGGACCCTATAGCGATCTGCCTGAGGGAGGAGGGACCTTATAGCGTCTGCCGGGGGAGGAGGGGGACCCTATAGCGTCTGCCTGCGGGGAGGAGGGACCATAGCGCCTGGCTGCGGGAGGAGGGACTTTATTAGCGTCCTGCCTGAGGGGAGGAGTACCTTATAGCGGCTGCCTGAGTGAAGGAGGGACCTTATAGAGTCTGCCTGAGGGGAGGAGGGACCTATAGCGTATGGCTGGGGGGGGGGGGGGGGAGGAGGAGGGCCCCTATAGCGTCTGCCGGGGAGGCGGGACCCTATAGCGTCTGCCTCATGAGGGTGAGAGGGAGGGACCCTAAGCCTTCGCCTGAGGAGGGGAGGAGGGACCTCTAGCCTTGGCCTGAGGGGGAGGGGACCTATAAAGTGTCATGCTGCGGGGCGGAGGGACTTATAGCGTCTGCCTATGAGGGATCTATAGCGTCTGCCTGAGGGGAGGAGGGACCTTATAGCGTCTGCCTGAGGGGAAGAGGGACACTATAGCGTCTGTCTGAGTTGGGAGGGACCCTATAGCGTCTGCCTGAGGGGGAGGAGGGACTCTAAGCGTCTGCCTGAGTTGAGGAGGGACCCTATAGCGTCTGCCTGAGGGGAAGAGGGACCCTATAGTGTCTTCCTGAGGGGAGGAGGGACTCTATAGCGTCTGCCTGAGGGAAGGAGGGACCCTATAGTGTCTGTCTGAGTTGAGGGGGGACCCTATAGCGTCTGCATGAGTTGAGGAGGGACCCTATAGCGTCTGCCTGAGGGGAGGAGGGACTCTATAGCGTCTGCCTCAGGGGAAGAGGGACCCTATAGTGTCTTCCTGAGGGGAGGAGGGACTCTATAGCGTCTGCCTGAGTTGAGGAGGGACCCTATAGTGTCTGCCTAAGAGGGACCCTATAGCGTCTGCCTGAGGGGAGGAGGGACCCTATAGCGTCTGCTGAGGGGAGGAGGGACTCTATAGCGTCTTGCCTTAGGGGTAGGAGGGACTCTATAGCGTCTGCTGAGGGGAGGAGGGACTCTATAGCGTTGCCTGAGGGGAGGAGGGACCCCTATAGCGTCTGTCTGAGTTGAGGAGGGACCCTTAGCGTCGGCATGAGTTGAGGAGGGACCCCTTATAGCGTTTGCCTGAGGGAGAGGGACCCTATAACGTCTGCCTGAGGGTAGGGGGACCCTATAGCGTCTGTCTGAGTTGAGGAGGGACCCTATAGCGTCTGCATGAGTTGAGGAGGGACCCTATAGCGTATGCCTGAGGGGAGAGGGACCCTCTAACGTCTGCCTGAGGGTCAGGAGGGACCCTATGGGTCTGTCTGGTTGAGGAGGGACCCTATAGCGTCTGCATGAGTTGAGGAGGGACCCTTATAGCGTCTGCATGAGTTGAGGAGTGACCCTTTTGGGGGGAATTAGTGTCGCATGAGTTGAGGGAGCGGGGACACTATAGGTCTGCCGTTAGGGGAGGAGGGACCTATAGAGTTCTGCCTTAGGGGAGGAGGGAGGGACCCTTTAAGCGGTCTGCCTGAGGGGAGGCCGTGCACCCCCCACCCTAGAGCGTCGGCCTGAGGGGAGGCGGGACCAAACTATAGGTTCTGTTGAGGGGAGGGGGGACAACTATAACGCCCTGGCGGAGGCAAGAGGGACTTTTATAGCGCTGCCTTGAGGGGAGGAGGGGACACATTATAGCGCCTGGCTGAGGCGAGGAGGGACTTTAAGAGCGTCTGCCTGAGGGAGGAGGGACCTTTAATAGAGCCTGGCCTGAGTGAGGAGGGACCTTATAGCGTCTGCCTGAGTGAGGAGGGACTTATTATAGCGTCTGCCTGAGGGGATGGAGGGGACCCCTATAGAGTCTGCCTGAGGGGAGGAGGGACCCTAAAGCGCTGCTGTGGGAGGAGGGACTCGAATATGGCTGTCTGCCTCAGGGGAAGAGGGGACCCTATATAGCGCCTGCCTGAGGGGCGGAGGGCACCCTATAGCGTATGCCTAAGAGGGGACCATATAGCGTCTGGCCTGACGGGGAGGCGGGACCCATATAGCGCATGCCTGAGCGGGAGGAGGGGACCTTTATACGGCGTCTCCCTGAGGGGAGGAGGGACACCCTATAGCGTCTGCCATGAGGGGAGGATGGACCTTTATAGCCGTCTCCCTGAGGGGGAGGGACCCTTATAGCGTCCTGCCTAGAGGGGAGGAGGGACCCTATAGCGTCTGCCTGAGGGGGAGGGAGGGAGGGGACCGATATAGCGTTCTGCCTGAGGGGAGGGAGAGGACCCCTCTAGCCGTTCCTGCCTGAGGGGGGGGGACCCTATTAGCGTCTGCCTGAGGGGGAGAGGGGACCTTTTATTAGCGTCTGGCCTGAAGGGGAGGAGGAACCCTGTAGCGTCTGCCTGAGGGGAGGAGGGACCCTATAGCGTCTGCCTGTGGGGAGGAGGGACCCTATAGCGTCTGCCTGAGGGGGGGAGGGACTCTATAGTGTCTGCCTGAGGGGAGGAGGGACCTTATAGCGTCTGCCTGAGGGGAGTAGGGACCCTATAGCATCTGCCTGAGGGGAGGAGCTGATACTCTGAGTAAAGGACATGGGAGGGATCTGAATTAATTTCCTGAGCTTGTCTGATAACGATCTATTCAAAAATATCCCTGGAGGGATGTTGCCTCACAAGACTCCATTTCCCACATGCCCCAGGAAACCTCCATACCTCTGGACTGCATCACCTCCCTTGGGCGGCCGTTTGGAACAGAAAAACAGGAGGGTTTAAATGCGCACATCTCAAATCACATGAGATTATTATCCAATGGGAGCTCTCGCTGGATTAATGAGGCAACTAGTCACACCTGTGACACTCACCCACCTTTCACCACGGAGTCCCCAGCTTCCTCTCCCAGGGTTCTGAGCTGGCTGACTTTCAGGAGTCGCTGGTGCAACTCCGCCTCATGGCCCGCTGTTACCGCGACGACAGGGCCGGCATGATGTGCTCCTCCTCGGAAGAGGATGATATCTATCCGTAAATAAATACATCTATTCAATTTTCTCTTTCACATACATGCTTATGTCTGTATTTAACTGTCACTCTCAACCTCCATGTGTAGGCTACTATAATATTCTATAACTATACTACTATACTCTGCTCTATAGATATGTCTCACTATGCTTGTATCCAACAGTCTCTCTCATCATTGTCAGGTCCATCCCTATAACCTTATCTCCCTATCCTCTCTTCCACAGTGCAGTCCTCTCCGTCCCCGTGCTAATCTCCCTGCAGTCGTCTCCGGCCCTGGGCTCGTGGCTGTCAGAGCTGCAGCGCGGTGCCAGCGCCCTGGACCCCCACCGCATCGCCCCCAGCTTCCTCTCCCAGGAGCCTGAGCTGACCGACTTCCAGGAGTCCTTGGAGCAACTCCGCCTCCTCTGCCACTGTTACAGTGATGACAGCGGTGGGATGATGCGCTCCTCCTCGGAAGAGGACAACGATGTTTGACAGTGATGATTGATTGATTGACTGACAACTGCTGAACCGCAAGAGTCATTTTATTTTCTGTCTTCCGCATTTTTTAGCCCAGAATGATTCTTTGCACTCCATACCATCTGAATAGATGGGTCTCGATTGACCTCGACTGGTATTGACAGACCCACTTAGTCCACATTGTATAGGCATCTGTGGATCTGATTGCTTTCAGACTCCGTGAGACTTGATAAGGATTTTGAATTCTGGTTGGAAAGAATGGACTGGCTGTTTGAGATGGTGACAGAGAAAGGTTACGGTAAAAGGTTGAGGTTTTAACTGACAAAAGATAATAGTTGGACAATGAAACTAACTCAATCATGAAATAAAGGTGAGAAATAATAAAGGAAAGGTCAATGAAGAGATGAAGGGAGAATGTCGGTGGGCTATACAGTGCCTTCGGAAAGTATTCAGACCCCTTGACTTTTTCCACATTTTGTTATGTTACAGCCTTATTCTAAAATGGATGAAATAAAACAAAATCCTCATCAATCTACACACAATACCCCATAATGACAAAGCAAAAACAGTTTTTTTTTTTTGTGCAAATTTATAAAAAATAAAAAATAAAAAACCTTATTTACATAAGTATTAAGACACTTTGCTATGAGACTCAAAATTGAGCTCAGGTGCATCCTGTTTCCATTGATCATCCTAGAGATGTTTCTACAACTTGATTGGATTCCACCTGTGGTAAACTCAATTGATTGGACATGATTTGGAAAGGCACACATCCGTCTATGTAAGGTCCCACAGTTGACAGTGCATGTCAGAGCAAAAACCAAGCCATGAGGTCGAGGGAATTGTCCGTAGAGCTCCGAAACAGAATTGTGTCAAGGCACAGATCTGGGGAAGGGTACCAAAACATTTCTGCAGCATTGAAGGTCCCCAAGAACACAGTGGCCTCCATTATTCTTAAATGGAAGAAGTTGGGAACCACCAAGACTCTTCCTAGAGCTGGCCGCCCGGACAAACTGAGCAATCGGGGGAAAAGGGCCTTGGTCAGGGAGGTGACCAAGAACCCGATGGTCATTGTGACAGAGCTCTAGAGTTCCTCTGTAGAGATGGGAGAACCTGTAGACTCGAGGCTGTAATCACTGACAAAGGTACTTCAACAAAGTACTGAGTAAAGGATCTGAATACTTATATAAATGTGATATTACATTTTTTAATTTGTAATACATTTGCAAACATTTCTAAAAACCTGTTTTTGCTTTGTCATTATGGGGTATTGTGTGTAGATTGAGGAGAGAAAAAAAGCAATTTAATCAATTTTAGAATAAGGCTGTAATGTAACAAAATCTGGAAAAAGTCAAGGGGTCTGAATTCTTTCCGAAGGCACTGTATATGACTAGTGATGGTCGCTTCCTCCAAGTTTTAAAGTTAATTCGCCACGTGCACAGGATACACCATGTGTAAAACAGTACAGTCCATACTAACAAAGGAAATAGAAGGTCTAACAGAACAGATAGATAGCAATAAAAACTGTAACATAGAGGCTCAGAATAAATTAGAGGAAAAACAAAAAGAAATGGAGAAACTTATTCAAGAAAGATCAAGTGTAATATTTTATAAAAATAAAACAAACTGGATGGAATATTGGGAAGAATGCACCAAATTATTTTTTAATCTTCAACATAGAAATGCTACCAAAAAGAATTTACTGAAACTGGTTACAAATGATGGAGTCACCCATGATTCACCAAATGATATTTTGAAGGAGGAAGCAAAGTACTTTAAGCATAGGTTTTCATTTCAGTCGCCTCCATCTCCTCTAACTGAAACTAATTGTAGGGATTTTTTTTCTATTGATAATGTAAAATTAACAGCCATACAGAAAGACTCATGTGAAGGTGAAATTACAGAGGAGGAACTTCTGGATGCAATTAAAGACTTTAAGTCCGGGAAAACGCCAGGGTTGGATGGCATACCAGTCGAGGTATACCATAATTTTTTTGATATACTCAGAGGACCGTTATTAGCATGTTTTAACCACTCCTATGTAAATGGTAGATTATCAGACACTCAAGAAGAAGGTCTGATTTCATTATTACTGAAACAGGATACAAGTGGGAAATATAAAGATCCAGTCCCTTAAAAAAATTGTAGGCCCCTTACACTTCAGTGTTGTGATGCAAACATTCTAGCAAAATGTGTAGCGCATAGAATTAAAAAGGTAATGTCGGACATTATTCATTCTAATCAGGCAGGTTTTTTACATGGACGATACATTGGAGATAATATAAGGCAAGTACAGGAAACAATAGAACACTATGAAAAATCTGGGAAACAAGGCCTGTATTCATAGCAGACTTTGAAAAGCCATTTGATAAAGTACGACCGGAGTTTATATATAAATGCCTGGAGCATTTCAATTTTGGAGAATCTCTTATAAAATGGGTTAAAATCACGTATAGTAACCCTAGGTGTAAAATAGTAAATAATGGCTATTTCTCAGAAAGTTTTAAACTGTCAAGAGGAGTAAAACAAGGTTGTCCACTATTGGCATATCTATTTATTATGGCCATCGAAATGTTAACTATTAAAATCAGATCCAACAATAATATCAAGGGATTAGAAATCCAGGGCTTAAAAACAAAGGTGTCATTTTACGCTGATGATTAATGTTTTCTTTTAAATCCACAACTTGAATCCCTCCACAGCCACATAGAGGATCAAGATACATTTTCTAACATCTCTGGATTACAACCAAATTATGATAAATGTACTATATTACATATTGGATCATTAAAAAATACAATTTGTACATTACCATGTAGTTTACCAATAAAATGGTCTGATGGTGATGTGGATATACTCGGAATTCATATCCCAAATTAAATAATGATCTCACTCCAGTTAAATTTTTATAGAAAGTTAGCAAAAATAGATAAGCTCTTGCTACCATGGAAAGGTAAATACCTGTCTATTTGTGGAAAAAAAAAAAAAAAAATCACCCTGATTAACTCTTTAGTATTATCCCAGTTTACCTATTTGCTTATGGTCTTGCCTTCGCCTAGTGAACAGTTTTTTAAAATTATATGAGAAAAAAAAATATTAAATTTTATTTGGAAAGGCAAGCCAGACTAAATTCAACGGGCCTATTTATATAATGAATATGAATTCGGAGGACAGAAATGATTAAATATTAAAGCATTAGACCTATCACTAAAAGCTTCAGTCATACAAAAGTTATACTTAAATCCGAACTGGTTCTCTAGCAAATTAGTAAGATTTTTTTTTTTTTTTTTTATAATATGTTTATTATTTTCCAATAAAAATAAAGTAAAAGAGACAGCAATACAAACAATGACATTCATTGTACTGTGGATGGGATGGCCAGTTTAGAGGACAAAACAAAAGTTAACTCACACATACACAAAATAAAACAAAATCCTATTAGGTGGTACGCTGTAGAAGAAGACAGATATAGTCCTTACAAGCAGTGTAGTTAGCCAACAATAAATATTGAGTGGAGTCAGCACAGAGTAGCAGCAGATCGTCAGCACATTATGAAGCGGGACTAGACATTATCCAGTATCGGTGCCATATTTGTAAAAAGGACTTCTCTTGGAGGTGTTGTATCAATGCCTTTTCCTCTGGATTACATCCTAAATCCCGTAACCCACATTTCAAAGGTAGGTACAGTCTTCCAATTTCCAAAGTGCAATAGAGCCTTTGGCTAATAGGTAACAAAGAGGAGGACAGCTTTCCCCTCCTGTTATTCCCATGTCAACTGTACAAAAGACGATCAGAATGGCCGTTTTGAAGTGTTCACTCCCCAGCAATGCCGGTATCAGCTCCGAGACAAATTCAGTGGGTTTCCCTTTCTCCGTGTCCTCCTGGATCCCACATATTCGGATGTTTCTGGCGTCTTGAATGCGACTCGAGCATTTCCAGTCGGGCCTTCAGGGTTTTGTTGTCATTTTTGAACGTTGCGCACTGTTTCTCTATGTCCTGTAGCCTGGCCTCGTGATCGATTGTCGTCTGCTCAACCTCGTGCACCCTTCCCTTAGTTGCCTTCACAGTTTCGGCCAAAGTCCCAATACTCTTTGAGATATCAGCCAACCTTGTGTCCACCTTCTTGCTTAGTGCGTTTATGGCAGCCAGTATGTCACTTTGAGTAGGATCTGTGGGGAACTCTTGGAAGCTAGCCTCTTCAGCTAGCTCCTCGTGGGTCGGCGACGTTATCTTGTTTAGCGCCCCCTTTTTTGTTGCCTTTTCCCTTTGTCATATTTGTTTGAAGTTATAGGTTGTGAGAGGTTAAGATAAATATTAATTTGTTTCAAAATTGAGCGGAGCTCTAGCAATGCACGTCTACTCCATAGCACGCTCTCTAGCGCCCCTCGCAAATTAGTAAGATTGTCTCACCCTGTGATGCGTGTGATGGAAGGAGTCAGGCGCAGGGGGGTAATCACCGAATACAGAGGTTATTCCTTTGTTACACAAAATACGCTTAGAGTAGCGACAAACGAAACAGACACAGGGGAAATTATCTACCCCAGCAATACACTGTAACGGTATCTCCATACAATACATAGGCATAGGGGGATTATCTACCCTGGCAACAAAATGGTACGAGTAGCTCCACCGAGCTACACTACTCTCACATTCAAACAATCACCCACAAGGACAAGGGGGCAGAGGGAACACTTATACACAGACTAATGAGGGGATTAGAACCAGGTGT